GAGACACAGAATCAGAAACAGGCTCCAGGCTCTGAGCCATCAGCCCAGAGCCTGACGCGGGGCTCGAACTCACGGACCGTGAGATCGTGACCTGGCTGAAGTCGGACGCTTAACCGACTGTGCCACCCAGGCGCCCCTGTTGCATCATTTTTAAATATACCAATGAATTTTCAATAATAGGTGATTAAATACTGTCATCTATTTAAAAAAATACATGAGCAAGGTGTTCTTTAATCATGAGAAATTTTACATTGTTTCTTCTTGAACTCCTGTTCTATTTCACCAGTGGCTTTATACTAATATAATATATCAATATATATAAAACAATGTTTGGAATGTATATGTTTGGAACCTTGTTAATAACCTTAGTATAATTCCTCTCTGTGTGTATGTATATATAAAAGTAATTTTTTTGAGTAAATTTTCAGTGACCTTAGGTCTTTAAATTTTTTAAAATTTGGGGCACCTGGGTGGCTCAGTTGGTTGAGTGTCTGACTTTGGCTCAGGTCATGATTTCACAGTTCGTGGGTTTGAGCCCTGTGTCAGTCTCTGTGCTGACAGCTCAGAGCCTGAAGCCTTCTTTGGGTTCTGTGTCTCCCTTTCTCTATCTCTCCTCTGCTTGTGCTGTGTCTTGCTCTGCCTCTCAAAAATAAATAAATGTTAAGAAAAAAAATAAGTTATACAAAATCTGGATTGAATTACTATTATAGGTATTATTAACACACAATTGATTAGTCAGTTGTGTCTGTGAGGGAGACAACATAACTACATTAAAATTTGTATACTTGGCGCGCCTGGGTGGCGCAGTCGGTTGAGCGTCCGACTTCAGCCAGGTCACGATCTCGCGGTCCGTGAGTTCGAGCCCCGCGTCAGGCTCTGGGCTGATGGCTCGGAGCCTGGAGCCTGGAGCCTGTTTCCGATTCTGTGTCTCCCTCTCTCTCTGCCCCTCCCCCGTTCATGCTCTGTCTCTGTCTGTCCCATAAATAAATAAAAACGTTGAAAAGAAAAATTAAAAAAAAAAAAAATTTGTATACTTAATAGAAATAAATTTTTGTGGAAAATGTATTTCTTAATGAGATGGATGAGGCTTTTTCTTTTTGGATAGTTTATATATCCATAGTTTATTTTTTAAATTAAATTAAATTTTTAAAATATATCCATAGTTTAATATTACTTTTTCCTAGACAGACCATTCAACATTAATTCTATTCTAACTTCTTATTTTTAGTAAATAGTACTGAAAAACCTTATTCACATAATAAACTGGGAATGGAGAGTTTTGTTATAGTGTCACTCATTTCTTTGAATTAACTTTCTGAGTTATATAAAAAATCACAGAGTGTGGGGCGGGGGCACCTGGGTGTCTCAGTCCGTTAAGTGTCTGACTTTGGCTCAGGTCATGATCTCACTGTTCCTGAGTTCAAACCCCGTGTCTGACTCTGTGCTGACAGCTGGAGCCTGGAGCCTGTTTTGAATTCTGTGTCTCCCTCTCTCTCTGCCCCTACCCTGCTCACGCATTGTCTCTGTCTCTGTTTCTCTCTCTCAAAAATAAACATTAAAATTTTTTTTAAAAAAAATCACAGAGTGCTATCATCTAAAATTATATTTGGTTCTCTATCAGCTAATAACTCAATCAGGTCTACCTTCATTTTTGGTGAAAGCCAGAAATGGACACCACCTGACTAGTGAAAAGATTTAATATCCAATCATTAGAGTCGTTAAATATAATATTTCACATTTTCTTTTTGTTTAGTGTCCCAGAGGTTTTTATACCTTGGGGTCATGCACCCTAGTGAGATTTAGGGTGGGTTAGCTGTATGCCTTTTTAAGTAAAAGAGGAGGTGGGAAGGGAGTATTGTCTCACATACTTCCCAGCAGATAAGATCAAGGACATAGTGCTGGAAATTAATTCTCTTACAGTTCTTGGTGCCCATTCATGTGCCCTTTAGCAAGGCTCCTGAGTTAATATGTGCCCAGTGTGGGCACTGTTCAGGGCAAAAAGAGTTGTGTGACAGGGACACACGACTGCAGCTCTTCATGTTGGGCTCTTCCCCCCACAGGACGGCTCATATCATGAAGATGTGGGCTATGGGGTCAGTGAGGGCCTCAAGTCAAAAGCCTTGTCTTTGGAGAAGGCAAGGAAGGAGGCGGTGACAGATGGGCTGAAGCGGGCGCTGAGGTAAGCAAAAGCTAGAGTCTGACCTGCTTCATTTTGATTCTTGTTTCAGAGCAGTTTTGTTTTGTTTTAGTTTGTTTAGAATGTAATACGTTCATGTGGTACAAAAATCAAAATGACCTGAGTCTCCCTCTCCCCTGTACCTCTTGGCCCCGTTTCCTGTTCTCCCGCGTGTCCCCCATGCTGCTTTATGCTTAGTCAGTCTCCCCTCTTGGGAACACATGGTAGAATACTATCTTCTCTGTTCTGTGTTCGATTTTGCACACCCACTGCCTCAGTCATGGATCGGAGACCTTTCCACATGGGTACGAGACAGCTTCCCCATTAAGCAGTTTTTCATTGTGTATGTACAGCTTAGTTACATAGAACAGGGTATTTTGCCTTTTTTTTTTTTTTTTTTTTTTTTTTTTTTTTTTTTTTTTTTGGCCTTTGAGAATTGAAGTGAATTGAATCACTAGAAAAACACATGTATGAATGAACATCCACTACAAACTTGCGGTACATAACCAGGCATCCTGAGTGAAGAGCTTCTGTCAGGGAGGATTGTGCTCTAAGTGTGTGTAGCCCACTGTTGCTGGGGAATTGGAGCAGTCCTCAGAAGAAATCTCTGCTCTGGAATTGGTGCTCCACGGCAGGAGGTAGCTAAGGAGTCTTTTCATAGTCCTTGCCTCTTGCTGAGGGCAGGGATGGTGCTGTATTCTGAGAACCTAAAACTAAAGCAGTGCATGAATGTGGCAGGTGCTCAGTAAACATTTTTGGATGTATATTAGGGTCCTTCTCTGCCACAGTTGAGAAGCAACTTGCACAGAGATTCTAACTGTGTTCTCTGATATTACCATGTAATAATTCTCAACCTGTTTCACTCTTTTTTTTCCTTACTCTTAGAAGTTTTGGGAATGCACTTGGAAATTGTATTCTGGACAAAGACTATCTGAGGTCACTAAATAAGCTTCCACGCCAGGTATGTTAGAAATGGATGAATGGAATGCATTGCAGTAAAGATATTACTGATTCCCTTGTGTCATGGGTGACTGTTTGGGGATGGAGAGAGAAGAAGGGGAGACTCAGCCCTTTAGAGGGTCTGGAATGTGTATTTCTGACTTGTTTGAATATCAGAGCAACAGGAACCAATGGCCTTGTTTTACAGATGAGGACATTGAAGCCCAGAGAATGTATGCTAGTTGTTTCTTCTACATGGAGCGCTGTGTTCGGGAATGGTCTGAGAACCCTGCAGCACCACCATTTCTTATAAACACTGAGAACCACACCTCTTCCACCTTCTTGCTTTTCCTTAGCTGGAGTGGATTTAAGGTGTAGATCCTCTTGTTTCTGTCTCTGCCTATCGCACGAGCTGAGCCTTTGCGAGAGAGGGGTCTGGAAATCGTGTATCCCCTGTAGTCACTCTTGGCCTAGGCTGAGTCGGGTTCTGGAATATTCCTGGTGCCTGGAGGAGTGGCTGCCTTCCCCATGACATTCTCTGAGGCCCCGGGGAGCATTCCCTGTCTTGTACTCGAGGGGCTCTTGGGGTGGAGACCCTAACAGAGGCGTGTGTCAATTGGCATCTGTCAAAACTCCACTCTTTCCCTTGTTAAGATCCTTTTACATGTTATTAGGCTTGTGTTTTCTTAAGGCCTTTTGCATCTGGGTTTGTTAGGGATATCACTCATAGGTTTTTTTTTTCCTCTCTTTTTTAAATTGTGGTAAAAAACACATAACAAAGTTTACCATTTTAGCCATTTGTAAGTGTACAGTTCGCTGATGAAACAGATCTCCAGAACTTTTTAATCTTGAGACACTGCAACTCGATACCCAAAACACAGCTCCCCTTTCCCTCTTCTCATAGCCCCTGGTTACCGCATTCCACTTAACTGTCTATGAATTTGACTACTTTAGATGCCTCATGTAAGTGGAATCATGCTGTTTGTTTTTTTTGACTGACTTGTTTCATTTAGCGTAATGTCCTCGTTTCATCTATGTTGTGGCCTGTTGATTTGTTGATGATTTTTCTCTTGCTGCTTCCAAGATTTCTCTTTGTCTTTGACTTTTTAAAAATTGAGATATAAGTGACATATAACATTATTTTAGTTTAGGTATACAACATAATAATTTGATATTTGTATATGTTATGAAATGAATGACATGATAAGTCTCATTAACATCCATCACCATACCTAGTTACACATTTTTTTTGATAACTTTTAATATTTACTCTTTTAGCAACTTTCAGATATACAATATTATTAGCTACAGTCACTATACTGTACATTACATTCCCATGACGTATTTTTATAACTGGAGGTTTGTACTTTTTGACCCCCTTCACCCATTTTGCCTGTTACCTACTGTATCCCTGGCAACCACCAATATGTTCTCTGTACCTATGAGCTCTTTTTTTTTTTCTCCTGCAGATTCTGCATATAAGTGAGATACAATGTTTGTCTCTCTCTATCTGACTCATTCCACTTAGCATAATGCCCTTGAGGTGCATCCACGTTGTGGCAAATAGCAAGTTTCCTTCTTTATGGCTGAGTAATATTCCATTGCATGTGTACTACATTTTCTTTATCCATTCATCCGTGGATGGACACTTAGGTTATTTCCATATGAACATGGGGAGCAGATACGTTTTTGAGTTAGTGTTTTTGTTTTCTTTGGATAAATATCCAGAAGTGGACTTGGTGAATCACATGGTAGTTCTATTTTTAATTTTTTGAGGAACCTCCATACTGTTTTCCACAGTGTCTGCACCAGTTTTCATTCCCACCACTAGTGCACAAGGTTTCACCTTTCTCCACATCCTTGCCAACGCTTTTTATTTTTTTGATAATAGCCACTCTGACAGGTGTGAGGTGATATCTCATTGTGGTTTTGATTTGCATTTCCCTGATCATGAGTGATGTTGAGTATCTTTCCATGTGTCTGTTGACCATCTATGTGTCTTCTTTGGAAAAATGTCTATATAGATCCAGTTCCCATTTTTTAATTGGATTGTTTATTTTCTTGCTATTGAGTTCTTTACATATTTTGGATATTAACTCCTTATTGATGATATCGTTTACAAATTTTTTTTTTTTTTTCCAACGTTTATTTATTTCTGGGACAGAGAGAGACAGAGCATGAACGGGGGAGGTGCAGAGAGAGAGGGAGACACAGAATCGGAAACAGGCTCCAGGCTCTGAGCCATCAGCCCAGAGCCCGACGCGGGGCTCGAACTCACGGACCGCGAGATCGTGACCTGGCTGAAGTCAGACGCTCAACCGACTGCGCCACCCAGGCGCCCCTTTTTAAATTTTTTTTTTTTTTCAACGTTTATTTATTTTT